TGCATTGAGTGACACTAGATTGGCAGACAGTTCAGTGATTGAAGCTGGACAGACAGATAATTCAGAATGAGGCTCATTGACAGAAACTGGATAGACTGTTCACTAGGGGTCTCTTTGGCAACGACAGAAGTAATGGGGCAAATATAGAGTTCATTTATGGTTTCAGGGTTCATGACAGGCAGGGTTAAGAGTTCACAGGTGACCTTTTTGGCTGTGACGGACAGGGCTGAGAGTTCATAGGCAGCCTTTTTGGCCAGAACAGAACAGGCAGAGAATTCACAGACGGCCTCCTTGGCCAGAACAGAACAGGCAGAGAGTTCACAGACGGCCTCCTTGGCCGGAACAGAACAGGCAGAGAGTTCACAGATGGCCTCCTTGGCCGGAACAGAACAGGCAGAGTTCACAGACGGCCTCCTTGGCCGGAACAGAACAGACAAAGTGTTCACAGATGGCCTCCATAGCCGTGACAGGACAGGACGAGGATTCGCAGACGGCCTCCATAGCTGTGACAGGACAGGATGAGGATTCACAGACGGCCTTCATAGCCGTGATAGGACAGGCAGAGAGTTCATAGATGGATACCACTGACACCTCTGGATGTTCTGCAGAGGATGCCGCCACCTCTGGAAGTTCTACAGTAGTAACATCAGGAAACAGGTAGAGTTCATTAACAGTTCCTTTGACCGCGATATGACAGGCTGAAGGTGCATTGCTGGGCGCCACCAAGGAGCTGAAGCAAGCACCGCCACCTCGGGAGGTTCTGCAGCATGGGCCGCCACCTCTGGAGAAGCTACAGCGGGCGCCATCGCCTTGGGGAACACGGCAGTGTGCGCCACTACCTCAGGAGGATCTGCAGCATCAGCCGCCACCTCGGGAGACATCACAGTGGCCGCCGCCGTCTCTAAAGTTTCAGTGGTGGTGTACGGAGCCCAAATACACCATAAAGCGATCCCCATTGTGGGAAGCGCTACAGACAGGGGAAATAGTTCAGGAACTGGAGGGCTTGAGAGCGCTGGCTTAGGGATACCAGCTGCACGTGCCGACACCAGCAGTGGGTCCTCCACGCTGGATGCCAGTCTGGGATACTGAAGAACAGTCCTTGAGGATCTGGGTGCAACAGACAGGAAGTGACAGGACTCTGAGCGAACAGACGTGACGTGACTCTGGATGATCAGCTGTGATGTGACATGAATCTGGAAGATCAGCTGTGATGTGACGTGTGACTCTTGATGATCAGCTGTGATGTGACGTGACTCTGGATGATCAGCTGTGCTGTGACGTGACTCTGGATGAATAGCTGAGACGGGACGTGACTCTGGACGAACAGCTGAGACGGGACGTGACTGGACGAACAGCTGAGACATGACGTGACTCTGGAAGATTAGCTGATATGTGATGAGATTCTGGAAGATCAGCTGTGACGTGACGTGTCTCTGGACCAGTGATCGTCAAATCTGGCTCGTGAGATCCACTTTCCTGCAGCGTTTAGCTCTAACCCTAATCAAACACACCTGAGTTTGCTAATCAATGTCTTCCGGATCATTAGAAAATCACAGGTATAGTTGTTTGATTAGGGTTGGAGCTAAACTCCGCAGGAAAGTGACATTTATAATGAAATGTTTAATTTCTGAAATATGTTTAGATTTTTTTTGGGGGGGGGGGGGACATAAAGTTAAACATGACAGGGGTACACCGGCATCATCTTTAGGGGCATTACCTAAAACAGCACAGAACGGTCTAAAAACATCAAACATTTAATTGGGTCCCTAATATTAACTGAATAAAACATAAAAAAAAATTATAATCATTTATCCATCATTAATGTTTATGTGTTGACACCCCTCCCCTGCCTTTTATTAGGGACTTTAAGCAACAGCTGCTTTAAGCAACTGGCATTCCACCGCGTATGCACGACTTCGTGGCGTTGTAATGTAAGCATATTCTACGGGAGAGTAGTATTCTATTTTTTTTGATAAGTGGATATTCAGATTCCTACCAATCAATTAAATGAGCAGAGACAACTGAAAGTAAGTCACTAAATCACTTATCTCCGAACTTAACCATGGAACTGTCCATGGTGGAAGCCTTTAATTGAAGTCACATAATCTTTTTTTCTTTTTCTTTCTTTTTTTTTATTGTGCTTTTTGTCAAACATTTTCTCCATACTGTCTGACATAAACTGGCGCTCATGGAGATACAATTGTCCTGGTATCAAAACAACGGAAAAAGGCTTATTGAATGAATGAAATTATCTTCCAAAGGATCCTGGAGAAAGTAGCTGTTTATTTTTCAGCTTTGTGAATTTCTCAGTAGAGTCAAAGAGATTATTTGTTTGTTTCGTTTCATTTCACTGTGGATTCTTTGGTAAATCAGTCGCAATTCGACGCAAGCTTTGCAAACAGACTTTTACGGAAAGACATGGACCCGACAGTAATGCTACATCATTGTCAGCTTGTTGCTGTTTATGCATCAGTAAATCAAGCCAGTGACTAAACGGTCAACTACACATTGCTAGTAGCATGGAAATCATCTGTTGAAATCAAACTGTGGTTATATTATGTACATAAAGCGATCAAAGAACTCTTTATGTATGTACATGACTGATGCTCAGTGCTCAAACTTTTTATGCAATGGGACAGATCAAAATATAATGCTATAATCAACACTTTTCATGATTAGTTGATCTTGTCAGCTGCAACAGTGAAAATGTAGTAGAAGTTTTCAGAAAAGTTCCACATTTAATACTTATTTCATATGCAAAGATGCTACCCAATCATAGCAGTTACAATGAAGTCTTAGTAAGATCCACAGTCTAGGAAGAGTTTTTTTTTTTTTTTTAGAAAATTCAAAATGGCTGGAAAATTTTCAGATGGAAGACTGTGTCATATGGTGCAGCCAAGGAATCGGGGGCGGGGGATTGTTTCTAGCCCTCATGGTTCAAAAGTTATTAACATGAGTGCAACTTTGGACAATTGGTGACGCTAGCGGGATTGAGTTGGAGAATCCAATTGTGATAATATTGCTATGGTTAATGTTCAGACTCTTCTATCAGTGTGTCAAATTTCACAACTTTTCCATGTGTTTCTATGGTTTGCCATAGACTCAATAGAAGACAATGACTAACCTTTGATGCTTCCCCCCTAATAATGCTTAAGATGTATACACTCAAATGTATTGTAAGGTCTAATGAAAGGTGTAGGAAAAATATGTTATTACATTTTACATGTGGTTTAGACCATATGACAATTTCATAAATTGAGTCAATAAATTGAAACAATTCTTGAAAAAATATATATAAACATTTTTCAAAACCAGATGAAACCATCATGAACACAGAGTTCAATTTTAAGAACTTGACAAACTAGATTGTTCAAAGATTGTTGCTTTTATTTATCGTGGACACTATTTGTCATTGACCCTTATTCAGATTGTTATTAATAAGTATATTAATGTAACTATGATTATTTGTGTATTTAATCAAACTGCTGTTGCTGCCATTCATAGCAGGATTTAGAACACCCTTTATGCATGATAAAATTACTATAATGCACAGCCTCTTGTGTGATACTGCTTAATTAAATAAGCTTAACTTTGCAGTTTTAATTTCATATTTGAAAAAAAGCAAAATCCAAATTTAGTTCACTTGGCAGCCATACAGCAATTCATAGAGCATTACATTTTCTGCAATTCATGTATGGACAAGCAAATCATACTGCTGTTTTATCATTTATGAAACCACTGAAATACACTGAATACATAATAAACTGTTATGAAATACCTCCTGGTTACAAAACATCGTAACAACAGTTATTGCAACTATATGTTAAACTGTATGACTGGCTAAGTATAAGCACTAAATTTAATTGGTGCTCTCATTCAATCATTAATGCTGAAGCTCCGTTTTGCTCCATTATTTGTTCCTGTCAAATGAACAGGTGTACAAGATGTCAGTGATCTATTTGCACAGAAACACACCCATCAATCCCTTCGGTTCTTGTAGCATGTCTGTGTTTGATTACCTCATAAAGCAAACCTTCCTTTATGGCCTCCTACAGGTGTTTGCTTGGCAGTGGGTGGATTTTGCCTTTAGGGTCAGTGACCAAAGTACATGCAAGACAGCACGACGACTGCCATTTTCATTGAATAAGAACCACTTTTTCTGTTTCTATATACATTATTAATTATTATTTTAATGTAAGAATACATCTATCTATGGTGTATTTGGAGTTACTGATGGATTACACTTGAGCTGTTTACTAAATGGGTCGAAACCAACAGAACCAACATCTACATTTTGGGGAAAAGGTAGAACCTTTTTTTTTTTGTATAAATGAAATCAAAATGTATTGCTATCAGTTAAGGGTATGGTCAGTTTAACTATATTTGCATCGTCATGTTTATTATATTAGCAGGTTGTAGTAATGATTTTAGATTGCTGGTTTTAATGAGAAGATAATATAAATGTAATTAAAATATTATTTCAAGTGGTCATTTTTGTTGATCTGATGTGTATGTGGTGGAGAGTCAGATCAGCTAAAATGGCTGCCACCATTCCAGGCCATGAACAGTTTAAGCTTGCGTTAAGAGGGCATACGATTTCAGTTTTGTTCTACTTTGACTTTGTAATGTTTAAGTTTAGAAGCATTTCATATTTGTTGAAGGAAATGCAACCAAATGATTGTAACAATATTACTGAATATATCAATAATGTCATATTGTGAGGTGGACCAGTATAAACTGAATGTACAATATGGGAGATCATGAAATTTTGTTTTGTCACATTACATTAGAATCACAATGAAAAGGAAACCAATGTGGTTGTGAGTATGACACAGACTGCCAATCTTAGTTTCTCTAAAGTGGGGAAAGGTGAAGCAATTAGTATTTAGGCCAGTTCATGCTATCTTTCCATGTCTAAGATACAGCCTGTCCTATGTCGTTCACACAGTGCTTTTACAGTAGTGTATTTAACGTAACTGCCGCTAAATGAACTTCAGAAAACCTGGCGTTGATCCAATGGACGTTCTTGGAGAAAATGAGGCACTACAGCAGTTTTTTAATGGTAAGACACCTAAACAACATTCACTTGATTTACCTTACAATGTTCTTAGTTAAACAACTACTTTTGCAGGTCAGGAGAATGCCTGTTGAAAAAAAACAGCATATGCTGGTTAGGTATGTTTTGATGCTGGTTTAAGCTGGTCCTTTACTGGTTCATGCTGGTCCTTTGCTGGTTTATGCTGGTCCTTTGCTGGTTTATGCTGGTCCTTTTGCTAACACACATGACCAGCATAAACCAGCAAAAGGACCAGCATAAACCAGCAAAGGACCAGCTTAAACCAGCATCCCAGCGTCAAAACATACCTAACCAGCATATGCTGTTTTTTTCAACAGGGTGGCCATAATGGAATTGTTTTGTATGTATTTTTAACCACCTTTTCACGTTTCATGTAAGTCAATATCATCCATTGTTTCTGTCAAAATTACATAACACTGAAATCTGGTTACGAACCAGGAATTTGTTATGAATTTATCATGCCATGCAAACAATGTAGATTAACAGCTATAAATGTTAATATTGTATGGAGGTTGTGTTTTACATGGCCTTCATATCATATCTAATATAGGTGGCTGTAATCTACACAGTATGTAGGTACAGTTTACCATCAATAGTTCAAGGCCATGGATCTATAAAACCAGTCAGAAGAGCAAATAGATCAAGGCCATACAGTCATACATATGTTCACTGTCTCCTTGCTTTTTATTTGTCTATACAGAATATAATTTCTAAAATTCTAGAATTTTAGTTTTGTATTATATTATTGTACAGTGTGTTGATTTTATGTCCGCTATGAAACTCTCTCAATCTGGTACTGAGTGTTTGGGTTTGTACCATCATCAGTGCTTTCCTTTAGACTTTCCTTTATGCAGGTTTATGCATTTTCCGGTTCTGGTGCCATTTCTTGATATTATGGTGATTGTACGTTAAGCCTGTTTTGTCTTGCTGAGGCACCCCAAGTTTATTCTCCTCATCCTCTAGAGTGGCTTTTCGAGAGTGGATTTGTTTTGCAGTCCATCACCTGGGCCGTTTGTTTAGAGTGTCAGTGGATGCTTTAGTTATCTGATATGGTGGCCTGTGGAAGCTGGACCAGATCCTTTGTGTATTTTAAGAGGTTCTTTGTGACCATTTACTTTCTTGGCATTATTGTGGTGTCCAGGTATTTGATGATGTGTGACACAGAGAGATGTTTGCAGATGATTGGAAATTTCTCAGAAGTGTCTAAGCCAGAAGTACTTATGTATTGTGTCTAGAGGTGTAGATACTTGCGATATTAGGTGTCTTGTTCTCTAACTACAAACACTGTTCAAAAAGATCTCAATGCTGAAAAAAACAACTTCAGTTCCTATCCAACTTATTTTAATGTAAGCAGTCACATCCATTTATAACTGGAATATGCAAGGCTTCTGGTGTCAGCCACTTTAGAATTTTAGCTGTACATAAACAGTATGTAAAGGTGTAGTCACATGAACAAAGGTCCATTGTCAACAGAATAGTAGTTGAAATGTATAAAGCACAGCTTGCACAGAAGTCACTTTCAAAACAAGCAGCTTTCTGTTGGTCAACACAGCAAATTAATGTGACCAACTTGAAAATGAGCGAAATCTGCATGGGGAACTTTTTCACCCTCAAGCGAAGTAATGCCAGGAAATGTTTGCAGAGCATGGTAAATTTGACCACATTTATGCCGCTTAATGTTGCAAATTTGGTAACATCAATATGTTAAATGATAGCTCAATCCACTTCTTTGATGCAATAGAACCAATGAGTAAAATAAAAGTAAAAGTAGAGTAAAAGGAAGTAAAAGTTTAATTTCATCAAACCTCCTTCACAAAATTCATCACATGAGGGTATATTTAAACAGGAGACAGTATTTTAAAGTTTTTTTCCCCCCATCAGGACAGGATGTGAGTGGTGTATTAGAGAATGCCATGGTAGACACCAGTATTCTGGAGCAGTATTTGAGCAATGAGACAGATCCCACTTTGTGAGTTCTTTCAAATATTCCAAGTAAACTATTTTCACGTAAAGTTCACTTAACCTCCTCTAAATTAAAAGTTGACATAGAACATGGTTATTTTTTATTTTTAGCATGTTTTTCTAATTTCTTAGCATGTTACCTGAGTCACCGCCAGATTCAGGATCAGAGCGTAGTTCTCCACCACAAATACCAGGTGATTTCTTCTCTGATCTAAAATCCCAACCTCGAAGTTCTTATATTTGTTATAATCATTAAACCATCTGTCTTTTCACCAGATTCAAGATGGTCTCCTGAACAAAGCCACCAGGACATGTATAGCTTATCAGAAGACACCTTCCCTCTATCTTGTCCCTTCAAAGACAGGAAACAAGAGAGCTGTGGTGGTGCAGGACTCATGTATGATGTTGGCAGACCCCTTGGGAAGCACGTCAAAGCCGTTTCATCTGCCTTGCTCCCTCAGTACAGTCTCAACACATCTGAGAGTTACATACAGGCAACCACGTCCCATAATGCACCTATCCATAGTGTAACACAGTACACTCAGTGCCCACCAATGAGTCTTCCGCCAGGACATATGCCAGCTAATGCTGCTGCGGCCTCCTCATGTGTGCCCCATACTATGTCCCCAAAGACTATGTACCCTTATATGAACCAAAAACATGACCAACATGTAGGGTAAGGACTTATGTGTGCTGCATGTGCTGTTCTGCTTCTTTATGCAGTTCATTCAGTATATTCACAATCTTCAGTGCTTGCTTTAACAGAAATATTTCACACGAAAATAAGAAAAGAAGAAGGTCAAACTCTTTTGAGGGGCACACAGAGCAGCGCAGGGGTGCCAACCCAGTTTGGACCAAACCACCATTCTGTGAGTATTATATCATGTGCAGAATGTTTTCGTCCTATCTGAGGTGACCATGTTCTATTTGCCAGTCTATAAATGTTGCTTTGTTGCATAATAACCTCCCACGAACTGTACCCAAGTCTGCCTTAAAAAGGTGGGGTTTAAATCTACCTATTATTTAGTATGAATTACTATGCTCCAATTCTAATAGAGTGTTGCCGTAATTAAGTATTTTTGTAGGCCCTGGTTCCCTCATCAAAAACCCAACAGTATTTTCCATTGGCTTTTGTTTTATTGCAGAAAATAAGCATTGTGACCAACAAAAGTTTATGATTCTTACACATGATGTTAATATTTATACGAACTACACTACGGTTGCATGAATGTCACCACCACTAAGTTTCCAACAACTCTTTCAGTCAAAACATTTCACTCTATCACTCGTTTCACTCTTTCAGTATTTAAAAAAACATTTCACTTGAAAGTTGGAGTTAGAATAGTTTGCATGAACATGATTACAAACACGAGGCTGTGAACATATATATACTGTACATAGATGCCTCATTGTCAGCTGTTTTTATGGGCCTCAAAACGTAAGCCATCCGCCGTGTTGGAATGGTCAAAGCTGGTCCGTGAACACTCAAAAGTAGGTTGACTGCATCTGCAACTGTTGTTATATGCATGTATACATATCTATAGACTTCAGCAGATAATTTTGCTAAACTAACACAATACAAGACGTTAGCTAACATGACATAAAAAGTTTACAGTTTAAAAACCTGTAATATTGAGTAAACACATATACCATATACTGTAATATTAAGCTAAAACACAAACCAACATATTATTGTTACAGGGCTGACGAGACGTGAGACTTGCGGATCCATTCGCAAAGCTTTATTGTGGAGAAGACAGAGACGTGGTCATAAAGCAGGCATGGGTCAGATAATGGCAGACAGGTATATGGTGGGCAAAACACAAGAATAGTCCTAGGGCTAGCGCAGGTCGACGATCGGCAGACAGAATCAAAAAGGGGCAAGACAAAAGGGGTGAATCCAGGGAACCAGGTGAAGATCAAAAACCGGAGAAAACAGGCTAAGGCTAAGGCTAAGGCAAAAGACTAGGGCTCCGTAAAGTAGCTATCTGGGGAAAGATAATCGCTGAAACAATACTCGGCAGAGGGAAGGGAACAGAGTGAGTGTTAAATAGTGAGGAAGTGATATGAAACAGCTGGGTGCAATCAGTGTAAACAGGTGTGTGCAATTCGTGCTGAGTGCAATCAGTGCAATGCATGATGGGAAATGTAGTCCGGGGTGATGTGCAACAGTGTGTAGTGCGAGAGTCAATGAAATGGAAAGTTCATGGACCGGATTCGTGACAATTATCACCTGTGAAAAATTATCGATTTAAATCTCAATAGTTTTTACAACCAGAGGGTGTGCAATGTTGTGATGTCTTGGAAAACTCAGCAAAAATGGATTTTACTGTCAGTGATGACACGTTGACTGTTCCAAGATGGCGGACGTGTCAACGTGTCTTCCTGCAGCAGTCTACGTGCTCCACCTGTTTGGCAAGCATGCACATGTTGGTGCTTGTTCAATTAAGTCTGTGAGGTTTTCGCTTCACTAAAGGATGTTTGCTTGTTGTCAGGTCCAACCTTTATGCAAAGTGGAAAAACTCACGGTGTATTCTACCATTTAGTGATAAGGATATAACTGTAAAATTTAAGTTATGTGTAAAATGTAAGTTATGTTACTTTCTTCCCCTTGCCAGCAATGATACAAGCCGGATTTGTGAGTAATTTTCCCTTTTTAAGAAGGTTGAGAAAATTTGCTTCACCTTTGGCCTTTGAAGTTAAGTCCATACTACAACTCAATGGAATCTTATGTCTCAGATCTCGACCAAGGGGTAAGAAAGCTGGGAAAAACTTTATTCGTCCAATTTGTTGGTAATCGTCCAATTTTATGTCAAACTATAGAAGGAACTGACTAAGCTGACTAAACAAAGACTGTTTACATCTGCCCGTTGCTATCATCCTGAAAATGTAATTCACATAAATATACATATAAGTCAACATAAACGAAAGCCATCTATGGCTGGTTTTCTTCTTTCTAATGTGCGTTCTCTACGCCATAAATTCGATGAGCTGCACAGTATAGCAGTGAACAATAATTCAGCTATTATTGCCATGTAAGAAACAATGTTGATATTCCAGATCCATATGTAAATTTTCCTGGATATTCACTGCACCGGCGGGATCGTGAGGGCAGTGGGGGAGGAGGAGTTGCAATGTATGTCTGTAACAACATTTCCCAGAAACGACTGACTCGTTTAGAGGATGTTGCACATGAAGCTTTGTGGATCTGGTTACAACCCAATCATCTTCGCTGAGGGTTAAGTTGTATTATTACACAGCTCTGTCGAATACATGATTCTGTTTGGTTAGTCCCGACATTCCGAGGTATGTTATTCCTCGATAACAACTGGTAAAAGCTGAACACAGGCTCATCCGGGTAACTGAAGTTGGCGCTATACGCTTGCTAGAAACTGTTTTTCTTGGTGGAAGCTTTGCGTTTCGTTAGCTAATAAAATATTCAAACTCAATTCAATATTATGTGTACAATTTTTTAATTATGACATCCTGGTATCGCTGACTCACTCTCTCGTTTCATGCAAACGCAGCTGCTGCCATTTAGCAACGATTGTTTTGTACACTGTATTATATGATTATAAGATATAACAAACAAACTGGTAAGATTATAAAACATTTTCATCTTAAATCAATATCTTTTATTGCCTTAATTATTTATGTGGTGAAATGTTGTGTAATTAGTTGTAGCAAATTAGCTCAAAAGGGAAATGTATATAAATAATTACAGTTAATTATGATTAATTACAATGATTTATATCAGCTGCCAGTAGTAACTGTAGCAGAATTAAATTGCCCTCAACTAATCTGTTCGTCCAGCGAACATTCAGTGTAAGTTCATATCAACTCTAGGAAAGGATATTTCCGTGGCCACAGAAAATACTTTCATACAGTATTAATGCATTAGAGCATGTAGCGAGGATCGAAATCGTAAAAGGACATTAATTTGCAAGGCAGAATCAGAAACTCATGTAATTTGTGCACAAGAGTTTTATTAACTAAACACTAACACAAACTAGTCTAACAAACAAACAAACAAACAAACAATCACTCATGCATGGGAAAGGACAAATGAGGCGTGATGGATGAAACCATCAGGAAAAAACAGAGAATTAAGCTATGAAAAGAGTCAGTTAACCACCTGAGTGAAACCATCAGCGCCGTTTTAGAACGGGGTCTACAGCTTATACTAAACCTCTGTTTCGTTTAGTTAAATGTACGATACTTGCATTGCCTTGGTCGTTGACGAGTGCCTGGATGCAGTCTCGGATGAAAGTCTTGATGGTTTAGAGGTTCGGTGGTGTAGGAGTCGCGATCACCTTCTTCCGGGTTTGAAGAGTGATGAACTCCAAAAAGATGTTATTCTGACGCTGTGGTGGTCGGGAGAGTTTTCTCCCAGATGAAGATGATG